TAGATTTGGGTACGGGGGAGCGACTTAAATGCTGGCGAGTATCGCTCAGGGCACTCAGATAGCAAACAACTGATTTAACGTAATAACAAAGTGAGGGTATGAAACAGCAGCTAAGTAGCACCGTTGGTTAAGTCGTTGAAGAGAGAGGCTGGCACCTCGAATACGGTCAATAAAAAGGCTGGAAGCACCGTCGTCAAACCGTCGATAGGGAAGCCGTCGTCATTGATTGGTCGATAGAACAAAGAAGCTTTAAATCTGCGGCATCGCACACAAGCTGTTTCTAACAATCTGTTGCTACCTCGTATACATCCACTCGCTATCTTGTAGAGGTAATCCCCACATCCATATACTATATTGGCCGCAATCTATGCAAAAAAGTGAGGTACTGAAACATGTACAACATGGCTCCAGCACATTGATTCGTCTATAATGTACACCGCCTGTAGCCGAAATAAAAAAGTCACAGACGATGGTTATGAATACACTCAGAGAAGGGTATCACGTGCTGCTCTATGAAAGTTTAGACGGGGATATTTATTATCTCGGGAGTCACGAAAGCTAGGAGACTGGAAACATCAGGATGATGTTTTCTGTCTATGTTGGGACATCACAAACTCAAATTTAACTCCCAGTTATGCCGGGTTCTCCTGCATTGCCAGGCGGAAGTTTTGGCACGAAAATCACTCAGAATCCGAAAAACGAAGGGGTTGAAATTTTGGAGGGATGCTCACCGACGAAGGTTCCAAATTAACCGTCCACGTACACTCGTGTTTCATGTACCGGCACGTCAAATTTTAAGTAGGAAAAAAAATCTCACAGCTTAGGAACCGGACAAAATATCGAATATTTTTCTACAGACCAGAGTGTAAAACAGTAAAAATCCTTAGCAGACAAATTCCTGCTGAAAGAAACTGCAGAAAAAATCTGATTACAACGACTACCATGGTATGCGTCAATGTTCATTTATTTTGCGTTCTCCACAAAAGTGGTGAATAATACTTTCAATCTTATTTTTTTGTTTTTGAAGAGGTTCTCCTTTTCACGTACAGTTTCGGATAAGACGCATCTACCCGAAAGAGGAAGCCCTGTGTTGGTCATATAGTTGTTTGTCCTCAGCTCCAGGGACGTAGATTGTGTTGCTACTTCAAGAAAATCGTTGCATTTTAATAGTTACACAAAACCACACTCAAACAGTATGTTTAAATTTATTAAAATTTCACGACATCGATAAGTGTGCTGTCGTCGTCTGTCACAGTTCACATCTCGCCGCCATCCTTCTCGAGTTCGTCGTCGAGGTCTATTTCGAGTCGCTTGCTCGGCCTTACTTTCACTTTATCCTTGCTTGGGCTTATTGTAATGAATGCACACCGTAACGAATCATCTACTGTCAATATAGCACCGCAGTTATTAAACGATCCACAGTAGTTTGGAGCCGAAAATATTGTGATCATATGGCGACCCGCAAAAAATTCGTAACCATCCTGCAGGCGCATCATGTTAGAGTATGGCGGAGTTTGAAGTGAGAACAAAATGAAGAAAAAGCTATTTGTTTTTTCGGGTTTTTCTTTGTTTGGGAATGGGGATTTTCTGAAGTGGGGAGTTGAGCGTAAAAGCAGTTTACATTACGGTTTTTTTTTTTTTTTTCAAGACGATTCTATCGGTAAGAACTACTCTAGTTCGACATTTCATCCAGATAAA